ACATGCAGTGCTGCCATCTTCTGTTTCAGTCCGTTATTACACTCTTAAATCCTGCTATTTATTCCTGCGTCTTTCAGGATCTTACAAAAGCTTCAAACGATGCGTCGACTTTTAAATCAGTCGTCGACAATCATCGTAACTATTCGACTAATCGTGGCAGCCCTAGTTTATATGTAACAAAGTCTCTTGTTGCATTTTCTTGTTTTTGGTCAGTGTGAACTCTTTGCTTTTTCCCTGAGGAAACAGTGAGTGTTCCTAAATATCGGGAAAAGTTGAATGTTGTATATGAATCTGTACTGGGTTTATAATAGGAAAACCTTTATAAATTCTACATTTATAAAACATTTATAAATTCTACATTTATAAAACATTTATAAATTCTACATTTATAAAACATTTATAAATTCTACATTTATAAAACATTTATAAATTCTGCATTAATTGCATGTAAAGTGAAGTATTTTAAGCCCTTTTTCCCAATTTTTTTCAAACCTCATACTCCACATGTGTAATAAGGGGGCCAATAATGGATCATAGAATCATGCTTACGTATCAAGTTTCTATGTGGATAAATAGTTTGTGGTGGTCAACAAATTCTAATGCAGTCAAATATTGTCATTGTGATAGAAAGTGGAAAAACTATGTTCATTATTTGAGGTAACAACAACAAAAACAAATTCCAGTTTTCGTGTCCTGCAAGAATAATAATGTCACAAGACACTGAATAGAACTCAAACCAATGCCACTGCCAGCACTCTCCAAAATCACTCCATCATCAAAACCCTAAATCCTGGAAAGCAAGTCTTGTTCTGATGTTAAGTGTTGCGTGACATATTCAAAGAGCTTTTTGATCTCGTACTGAGCTACTCCCACAAAAATATCATGCATTATATCAAATAAGTCGAAATTACAAACATTGAAATACTTAAGTGTGAATGTTTTTTCAAACCATATAAAAACTTGGGTTTTCCTGGAGAGACTGGCAATGCATTTCAAACACATCTTTTCCACGAAGGATCATCCTCACTGTATTCGGTTTATGAATCACTCTTCTCAGTTAAACAAAGGCAACAGAAATGACGGCTCCTGAATGACTCGTTTAAGCCAAGACGTTTGTGTATCCCTAGATTATCTCAAGTGATTTGTGAGATTGTACCATAGAACTGCTCCCCAGATAATGGAAGACTTAGCCCTTAGCTGTCCAGTGTTTATATCATTGATCAATGGTTCCAGTATAACATAAAAACCGTACTTGTGGAGATCTCACCTCTGAAAAAGTGATCCCAAATGAATGTTATTCAAAACCAAATTAAATTTTGGAGGCAAGTGTCTTACAGCAGAATAAACTCGGCCAATTTTGTGAATTCCACGTCTGGAGCCGAGGGGATTGGCTCTTTCAAATGTTCAACTCTTAAATGTGAAGTTGACTTCTGACTGTTGGGATACAGACACATGAAACAGGTCACATACTTTTCACTCACTGCAGGGCTCGCAAAATTTCAAAATCCCTGGTAGCCTTTCGGGCAGGCACTCTTCAGCTTTTGGTAGCCAAAATAAATTTAAGTAGCCCGAATTTTAAAAAAAGAGCAATTTTTTGATTGGTGTTTTGTTTCCTTTACAATGTTATA